GATAGATAGATAGATAGATAGATAGATAGATAGATAGATAGATAGATAGATAGATAGATGATAGATAGATATGATAGAGATCGATAGATAGAAAGATAAGATAAATAGATCAATAGATAGATAGATCAATAGATAGATGGCTAGATCGATAGATCTATTTAAAATTTAAAAAATGAAGATATGTAGAAAACTGGAAATAACCTATAAAGTAGCCATGAACTTGGCAGAATAGCATCATAATAATGCAAACATCACCTAAAGCTCCCATAGTTGTTATATAGGTGACTAAATGAGGGACTCAGATTTTTGTTAATGGCTGACACAAGTTTTCAGAATCAAAATTTATATTCTGTTTACAGAACAACTACTACTAGAATATGAGTAAAGGGCACAAAACTAAAAATTAATGAACATTAAGTACAGTACCAGGTTTTTTAGCATATTGCCAGATGTTTAAATCTCCTAGCTTCCCATGAGATTCTTACAGAACAGAGAGATGCTATGTTTTTTTTAAGAATAAATAACATACGTGAACGCTAACATTTGCAGAGAGAGATGGGAAAGAAAAGCTTGATCTTATGGGTATGTGCAACCTGTTAGATTAGACACCTGTTTCTCTCTTTTTCCTTTCTTTCTTGATAACATTCAGTATCTCTTTGCAAAGATGCAGGTGGTTTGGCTGATAGTTGCAGGGAAAATTATAAAAATGCTAATTAGCTGTGGCACAAGCAGCTGTCAACGGCCCAGCAAATTTGAAATGACTCTAAGGCAAGGGAAGGGAGTATTCACTGACCCTTATAAGATTTCATTATACAATAAATTCTAACTCATCCAAGATCAGTTTGTTTGCAATAATTTATCTCTCTCTCTCTCTCTTTCTCTCCCCCCCCCCTCCACTGGTGTCCACATTCTCACCCGTCTCACTAACTCCCATTCCTGTAAATACAGACTCCAAGTCAAAATGTCAGGCCTCCCATCAGCAGGGCAGGCGGAGGAGTGGTGGTGGGGAGATGGAAGGAGATTCCTGTGGGAGTCAGTTGTATGTTTTGGAAAAGAGCCAAGATACCCAGGGAATTCAGCCTGGAGGAATAGATTTTTATTTAGCCCTCCAGGCATTCAAGTCCTGCTTTTGCTCTTTGGCAATAAGGATTATGGATGAATAAGCATAAAGATATCTAGGCAACATTAAAAAAAATCCACACACAATCCTCCACCATATCCAATCTCTTAACACCCTCCTGGCTTTGTGTACTGAAAGACCAAGTTATTTACTGGATAACTGAATTTCTTTGGGGATTGGGCTCCACCACTCTAGACACATTCTTTCTTTTGTAAAATTGGAAATGTCTCTTTTGAGGATCAGTCTCTATTGAGGTTCTTGATCATTATGATTTTGCATTTTGATTGTGAACACGAGCACCATTTTGTGTAAAGCTCAACAAAATGATTAGATGATCTTTGGATGCCCGAGATGTAGCACAGAGGGGTGCAGATATAATTCAATAGGCAAGCAAGTGGGTAAAATAAGTGTTCTTTATGTGGGCCCGCCTGTATCTGTGGCTCAGTGGCTAAGATGCTGAGTTTGTTGATCAGAAGGTTGGCAGTTCAGCAAATCCTTAGTGCCGCGTAACGGGGTGAGCTCCCATTACATGTCCCAGCTTCTGCCAACCTAGCAGTTCGAAAGCATGTAAAAATGCAAGAAGAAAAATAGGAACCACCTTTGATGGGAAGGTAACAGTGTTCCCTGTGCCTTCGGCGTTTAGTCATGCCGGCCACATGACCATGGAGATGTCTTTGGACGGCGCTGGCTCTTCAGTTTTGAAATGGAGATGAGCACCGCCCCCTAGAATTGGGAACGACTAGCACATATGTGCAAGGGGAACCTTTACTTTTACCTGTATCTGTCCTGGATTAAACTAAATCCAACAGTACATTGTTCTTATCTGTAGGGCCACAGCACATTAAAATAGCCCAGATGTATTTCGGGGTGGGGGTGGAATCTGATAATGCTGGCTTTCTGGCCATCATGTAATTGTAATAGATATTTAGCTAGTCTTTTTACTCTCTAGTGTTGTGAGAGCAAGGAAGTTGCTTTCCCCCCCAAACTGAAGGTATGGAATGAAGATTATGTTTTCCATTCCGTTGTAAATTGCTGTGGTTATGCATACCTAAAATCCATGAAACAGGAACTGTGAATTCACCAGTGACTCCTGAAAACAGATAGCCCTGACTCACACTGGGCACTAATCTAAGATTTGTTTTGATTAAAGTTACATTTTCTTCCCTGGCAATTTACAGCATCTTTTAGGTTCTCCCAAACATCATTGTGCCAAAGTTACAACTGCAAGGACAGGCATTATATCACTTCAGCCACACTTGGGTGACACTATGAAGATACTTTATGGCACTAGTGAGGAAATCAGCTTGATGTGATTTTTTAAAATGACTCCACCTTAGGTGATAAAACAAACCACGGTTTATTTTTTTACAGCAAAGCTGGTCTTGAAATTGACTGAATGAATGACTGGTTTAATCATAGCAAGTAATAGTTGAACCCCGGATTAATTGTTTTCATTTTCTACCCATGTTTCTCATCAAAATAGAGAAGTATGTGGCAGTACATATTAGCCACTAGAGAAACCACTCCTCAGAATAAAGGAAGCCTGCTTGTTTCTCCCCAAAAATTTCTCATTCTTTCTGGCAGCCACATTCTCACACATATTGAGAGGTTAAACGGAGAACCACACACAAAACTCCAGAGACACAAAAGCAAAGAGCCCACTATACAAAAAAAGAGAAAACACCTCTCACGCACAGACTGGCAGATTAATTCTTTACTGCTGCTGGGAAGTAGGGAAGCATCTGTATTCTGGCAGAAGAGAAGAAAAGGCAACAAAGCAAGAATTGGCCAGGCGAACCAGAATTATTTTACTTCTCTGCCAGATTGGCACTGGCTTATTCAACAAATCATGGTTTAGTTTTATTTTTGCATGCAATTTTAGAGTCCATTAGAGGTAAAAAAAAAGAGCTCACTGATACTTTATTTTCCTTAAGTTACAAGACATAAACCTAACCTTAATTTAAAGAAATAATACTGGCTGTGGTTTCTATTTCTGTGCACTAAATCATTTCTTACTTTTTAGTAACGGATGAAATATAGGGGGATTTAAAAAAAACACACAACAACCCCTCTTTTCAGTAAAGTACAGAAATATACAACCATAGAATTATATTTAGAAAATATGAATGTAGGACTGAGTTATTTAGCTGAAATTTATATATTTGCCAGTATGAAGGATAAGAACTAGTATCACTTTAATATTAGAAATATGAGGTTGAGAAGAGTGAGATCCTCCTTATGTTTTATAATTCAGTCTTTGTCTCAAGTCATTAATTTGAATTTAAAAACTTGTTTAGTTGCTTAATCTTTTTAAACAATGTATAATTTAGGAAGAGTGGTTTTCAAAATTCTGAAGTATTAGAGACATAAGTGAGCTGCAGGTTGAAGGTTCCTTAAGCAGTTAAAACAGGTATAAACCTATAACTCAGGTGAAAAATGTCTTTTTCCCATAGTTCATTATTAACTTGCATTTTAAGATAATCAGCCTGGAAAATCCATCCTACCTGTACAATAGAAAGCAAATAAAGCCTGGATACCAATATTCTGTTTGACTTTTCTTTCGTTTAACCTTAAAAACAGTTGCTAGTGATATACAAAATTATTTTTCATTTAATAAAGCTTCTAGAAAATTAAATTACAGAGAAGCAAAGTCCATCTGAAAAAGCTTCCAGAAGAGCAGAAGAGCAACTCAATAGGGGAACCAATTCCTCAGAGAGATAATGGACTTTAGTATGGAATCAGAGGATAATAACCCTCTTATTTGCCTGAGATGTTTTAATTTCAGCTCCTGCAATACGCAGGAGATTGTACTCAATGGCTAAATGGCTTTTACCCTAGTTCACTTGCAGGGCATCCACTAAAAACACAATATGAATTTAACCCATTCATTAAAAGATATGCTGGTTAATCTTAAAGACAATGATCTTCAGATCCTTCTAGTTTGGTATGAGTAATGTACTTGTTAAATAATGAACCAGATCTGTTTTAGCTTGTAGACCATTTCAGGGTTCCATCTTTCCTTTGGAGCAGAACATAGTAATCCCAAAGGGTCTATATAGTCAACTGCATTCATGTCAGTGGAGAGAGGTGCCCTACAAATTATCACCCTTTACAGAACAATTCATATTAAGCTTTGCCTTTTAAATTTCAGAATTCCATTAGGCACAACCTGTCCTTGAATAAGTGCTTCATCAAGGTGCCCCGAGAGAAAGATGAACCGGGAAAAGGTGGCTTCTGGAAGATTGATCCTCAGTACGCAGACAGACTGATGAACGGAGCTTTCAAAAAACGCAGGATGCCCCCTGTGCAGATACATCCAGCCTTTATCGGAAGAATCCAACAGGATGCAAGTTCCAGTTCTTCAGCTCACCAATCGGCAACCTCTTGGAAAAACAGCAGCATCCTGAAGATCAATGTAGAGTCCCAGCAGCTGCTCAAAGAATTTGAAGAAGTGACCAGTGACCAGAACTGGAACCCAGCAGATGGAAAAATGAGCCATAAACGCAAGCAGCCGCTGCCAAAACGAATGTATAAGGCAGCCCGCTTCTCCAGCTCCCCTATGCTTACTCAGGAAGAACAGACAGAGCTTGGCTCTCTCAAAGGTGATTTTGACTGGGAGGCTATCTTTGATACCACCTTAAATGGTGATTTCTCTACCTTTGAGGATCTAGAAATTACTCCTCCAATCAGCCCGATAACCAGGGATGTAGACTTGACAGTGCATGGAAGACATATCGATTGCCCACAGGAGTGGTGCCCAGCTGGGCAAGATTACGTGCTCACAGAATCTAACCAGAGTAGCTTGGACTTTGATGAAACATTTATTGCCACTTCTTTTCTTCAGCATCCCTGGGATGAAGGGAGAAATGATTACCTCTCAAATTCTGTCAACATGGATCCACTATTTGAACTCAGTGACCCTTCTTTGCAAACAGAAATGAATGACTGGAGCAATGCTGGGTGTCTTTAATGAAAGACCGTTCCCTGATTGGAAGGTTCAAGATTAACCAACTCTTAAGAACAAGATGGTCCCAGAGCTGCAGGACTTGACAAAAGAAAGAATCCATGACCAAATGAGACAGCTTTAGTATTGGGACCTGCTGTCTCACTGAAAAGTTAGGGTGGGTGGGAAAAGAAGATCTGGATAATTGGGGCTGGATGTATCTCAAAGTAACACATTTGATATGGGGAACACTATACCCCAACAGATAACAAATAATAATAATACAGTGTCTATTTGTGTTCTTTTAAAGAAATACAGGTTTTTTTTCTATTTGGGGCTAGAGGGAAATGAAAAGAGGATAATTTCTTTGTGGGAGAAGGGAGGACATTTGAAGAGGTTGGAAGAGCAGGCCTTTTCTGATGATTAGCGTATATTAGATCATTGACCGTTTCCTCTTCCTTCCTTCTTTCTTTCCTTTCTTGGGTAAGTGTGCTTGTATTTGTTTTTCCCAGGGAAGATCGCTAGCTAAAACATGGGACAATCTAGCAGGCAAGTACAATTTCCATCTCTGTTCAAGGAGTTGCAACCACCTGTCTACCACACTAGATCAATTTAGATTTTAAAACATATATGCTGTGAAATAAATCAATAGGTCAAGTTGTTTCCAGCTTTTAAAACAGAAGCTATTATCTATCTATAGACCTGTAATGGAAGTTATATTTTTAGCTACAGAGGGCACAATCAGTAGAGTATTGGGTTGGGTAGGGAGGGAAGACTATTTGTAATAATGGAAATTCAGATTGAAGTGTATCAAATGCTTGTTATTCAGAGGGAAATATAATACATACTTGGGAACATCTGCCACTAGATTTTTTAAAAAAAATCTATACATGGGACTTGATTTACTCTAGATGTTCCTTTTTACTTATTTTTGTATCTAAAATACTTCTTGACTGACTCTGTATGCTGTAATACCTAGACATAAAAGTCAAAGTAGGTAAACCCTCTGATGTTAAAGTTTATTTTAAAAACATTACACCTTTTTAGAAGTAGAAGCTTATGAAGGGATTTGTGGCATGCTTCAACAACTCAGTCACCAGCTCAATTGGCTGATTATGTAGGGCTCTATTTTCTTGTCTTTTGGTCAACCATCAGAATTGCTAAAACATTTCTCTGCTTTAAGTTATGCCTTGTCTTATGTGACTCACCAACCAGTAGCAATGTAGAACTGATTAATGTAAGCAAACCAAAACTACTCATAATTGTCATGTTCTTTTGTGTTTCTACACTACAGCGGAACACTATAGACCACTATACATACAGCAGAAAATACTAAAGAAAGAACAACTTAAATCTTCACTCCGATGAGTTACTTTTGCTTTTGAACTAAAACTGAACTTTCCTGTCATCTAACTAGGCACTTTTAGCCTAGAATCAGCTGTCATAATAGCCTTTGAATGTATTCAAATAAAGTAAAATGAGGACATTTAGGGTAGTTATGTAAAATATGTCTTGAAAAATAATAGCCTTATTAGAGACACCACAATGGTATTTCATAGAAGTTAACTTTTTAAAGGAGCTTCTTCAATGGGTCCATTCGGGTTAAGGCTCAGCATCCAAGTAGAATTTACAGTACTGAAAAATTCTGCACCATTTTTTCTTGCCTACATATCTTTAAAGCTGTTAACCTACAAAATGCTACAAAATGCATTTTGAAATATGTATATTTTCATACGCTTAGTCACTCTTAAACCTCTGGTGTGGAAAGAGTCACATCCTCAGGGCAAAAGTTATGGTGCTACATTATTCTACAGCAAATGCAATGATTTGTGTGTGATAAAAAACACTCTTCTGATCAAATCTGTACAGAGAAAATAAAAACATGTGCCCTTAGATTATGTGAATGAAAGAGCTCATTTTGAATATTTTGCATGCTCTTAATTTTAGAAATTACTCACATCATGGATACATGTATTCTGCAGAAACAGAGAATCTAAATTTAGAGCTTTGTGCTGTGCCACAAATATTAATGCTGAATTCACATTTAGTCTGCACAGAAAAATGTATTATTAGTTTGGCACTACAAAAGTCTTTTAACAATTATTCTCACAGTGATCCTGCTTTCAGTCGTCCCTCTCTCTCTAGAGAGAGAGAGATTTCAAGGCCTTTCCAAATCAGCTGGAGAGTAAGCGTGACTGAGGCATGCACAATATATGTGCATGTGATTTGGGTTTGTTTTGCACTGCCTACACAATTTCTCCTGAGGCTTCTGATCATGCAACATGAAAATCAAAAAATTGTATTTGGAGGAAATGGAGTATTTTCCTCAATCTGTACTGAGCAGTCTAGAAGAAAATGACCAACTGGCAGTTTCTAGATTGCATCCATCCTCAAAGATTATTTGATGTACTCTCCAAGAGTCTGCAGGTTTTTGTGGCCTGCAGTTCTGGGCAACAAATTAGGTCTCTATTTAAGGGAAATAAAGTACACATACTCATGATTCTTCTGGAACAACTTTGAGGCATATGGAAAAATCTTGGAAATATTCCCTGAAATAAATTTGCATATGGAATCGGTAGTGCAAAAAAGAAAAGAAAAAAGATAGTACCAGTACTACTTTCCTTCACCTTATCCAGCATTAAATTGATTCTTTGCAACTTCCAGTAGCTGACGTTTCAAGACAATTTGGTCATTAAGGATTATGGACAGTTTTAGGAACCTGGCTGTACCTATTCTAAAATATATTGCTTCCACAGTTCTAAGGAGCTGAAAAAGTACAGTCACTGTGGAATGAAGTACATTCCTATTATTTCATAACAGATGTGGGACTCCTGATAATAATAGTATTGGTAAAAACAATTATGTTTCCTGGCATTGAATAAGATTCAGCCCACAAATTTATTTGTTGTGGAAGAATTGTATGATATTTTAGCATCAGAGGTATGCCCATTATTGGGGCAGGGGGAACTGATCTGGAATTTAAGCTATTATTTTCAGGTTCTAACCCCCCTTCTTTCTTAATCAAAATGTAGTCAACTTACTAGTAATTAAAATATTAGATTTTTAAAAAAATTTAGGGAAGGGGAAATTTGTGAATGAGAAAGAAGCTTTGCTGTTGGAAACAATATGAGCAGTTTTAACCATATCAGAAGATACATGTACATGATTTTTTTAAATTAAAAAATGGAATAACTGCTGGAAAACCTCTATTTTTAGTAAGTGATGGAATAACATAGAATTTAAAAGTAATGTGAAAATGGAATTAATGTGCAAAATGGACCATCTGTACAGCATCAGTTTTGAAACAACCAAGGACTAGTATGTCACATTTAAAATTAGAACTATTGTAATTCCATGAATTCAGATATGAAATTGTTTCAATAATAATTGTGATCTATACAGATTTTAGTCTTTTAAAATCCGGTTGGTTTAACTAAACTTTTCTACTGAGGTCAGTTAAGTTAATACACATTTGGATCTGGCTTGGTCCAGCCCAATGTTTTTTTTTTTGTTTTTTTTTACCATAGGATATGGCCCTTCAAAATTCAGGCCCACCCACGAACATATAAAAATAATAATTTGAGGCATCTGAATAATAGCTTACCTTTCCCTTACCAATAATTGCATAGAAATGTAGTTTAGCAATATGGTTAAAGCTGCAACTTTATGTACATTTGCTGTCTTTATATTCAAATTAATTGGAGCTTTGCTATTGATTTCTATGGGTATATACAATGACTCCAACCTAATTTAGAAGCCTGTGACAGTTGTATATTCTAATTTAAATGTTCTAATTAGGTAATCGAACTAGTGTTTATTTTGTAAATTTAGAATCCTGAATTTGTCTCAGCTCTTTTCAGCAGAAGCAGATGCCAGTGAAACTGGTCTGTGTGTCTGGATTGACTGTTACTGGAAAATCTGCTTCCATTCTCCTTTTTTGAAAGTAATAGTAATAATAAACATAATGTCAGCATTTTGGACCATCGGCTGCTGTCAAGATTAAGTGAAGTACTATGGAGCAAAGCCAGTTTGCTATTGGAACAAGTTGAGGGCTCTCTCTGAATGGCTATAGTACAAATGTAAAGCCTCTGTAATGGTTCGGCCTTTTTAATTCCCAACCAAGGAACTCTAAAAGTTAGTTGGCAGTGAACCTGTCAATTACATCTCTGCACCTGACAGAACTACAGTTTCCACAAGAACTCTAACAGGATACCGAAGAGTGAAAATGAGCAATTTCTATGCAGGGGGCTTTTATGCTGTAAATGTACTGTTTTCCATAGCAAGTTACACATTGTATTGCATCCAGGATTTCAAACTGCAATGGGTAGCGTGCTTTCGTTTTAGGCTTTGGATTCATAGATTTACTACTAAGTTCTGTCAAAACTAGTGGCTGTAATAGAGCACCAACAGAACTTAAGTCTGGTTTCAAATCTGTCTCACTTTGTAGATTTAGTTATTTCTTCTGTCATCGTTCACTTGTGAAATTGCTCCAGGAGTAGGTTGAACGATCAAACTTAAGAGAAGTGCACTGCACATCCTTCAAGACCGTGGAAACCTACTGGCAATGAAATCATACCATTGCTGGATATCAAACCAGACATAGGGGAGAGGGGGAGCGTTGGTTGGTTTTGCTTTTTCTTAACATAATTATTTCTTTTCTGTTCCATTTTAATGGCTTGGATTGGGGTTTGTTTCCTACTCATGTTGAAAAACAGCAACAATACGTGTTCAATTTAACTATGGAAAGCTGTTTGCTATTTAAAAATAAATAAATAAAAACAAAACATTGCTACACTTTGTTTCCTGCTCTATAATATATTAAAAGTCATTTGTTGTTCTCAACAGTGCTCTGCGAGGATAGTCAAAAGCAAGTATGCAAAACAAAATACAGCATTTCCACTAGTAACACAGAGGCCATCAGATTATACTAGGACACATATGGTCATTATCCATCATTACACAGCAGCAATCTCATTAGCAGAAGTATATCTGATACAATGATGTCCACTCTATATGGGATCTGAGATACTTGTTTGCCCTTGAAGTTTGTTTCAGCCTGCAACTTAAAGTTGTTCTTAGTTCTGGAGCAGTTGCAAGATTCTCCGTTGAGTCAGTATAGTTGAAATAGCCCTCTGAGGCTATTCAGCTCGTGATATATAGCCAAAGCAATTTGATCTATCAAGAGATTGTTCTATATTCCTGGAGACCACTACTACTAACTCCTTCTGAAATAGCTACTCCTACCACTAGGACAACCTACATCGATGCTGGGTGCTCAGATTTATTTTCTCTCTGTCCCACTCTTGTGAAAACTTAAAATGATATGAAATACGCTGCAGCAGACCTCATTGAATCCCTTTCCAGGGAGTGTCTTCTTGGTTTTGCACCACTTCAAGGTCAATTCTGAAGCTTTCTAATCCCACACTAGTGTTTTGGGCGAGCTGAGTCATTCCTAATTCTGCTTCTGTGGAATTTATATCCAAGTTGGTTCCCTCCCTCACTTCACCTCTGCATATCTTGAAAGCAATCCATTTTGCCATAGGTGAGGATTTTCACTTCAATGTGCTTCCTACCTCTTGGGCTTAAATTAACCATTGCTTGTTTTCCCTCTAGTAGTGGTTCAGCATCTTGTCCTATACCATGTCTCTTCCTGCTTTCATTATTAGAGCTTATCTCCCCCAT